TATCTATATTCACATCTACATCTTTATCCTTATCTACATCTATTATCTTATCTACATCTATATTCCATCTACATCTTTATCTACTCCTTATCTACATCTATATTCTCATCTACATCTTTATCCTCATCTATCTATCATCTTATCCATCTATATTATCTACATCCCATCTATATCTACATCCACATAGATACCTCTAATCCCGAAAACCCCACGCGAGAGAACCCCCTTGGACCCACCTTGCCTGACGTGGCACTTGTAGAGGGCGGGGCAGTGGGGGGTCCCGGGCGCAGAGCCACACAGGAAGGGCCGCCCCTCCTTCTCGTTCACCATGAGGGGGTCGCCGAGGGGGCACATCGTCGCCAGGCTGCGGGGCTGCTTGCCTGGAGGAGGGAGAAGGGGATGAGTAAGGGAGATGAGGGAAGGGGGGTGGTTAAGGGAGATAGAAAGGGAGGGATGGTTAAGGTTGAGGGAGGGGGTAAAGGGAAGGGAAAAAGGAATGAAGAGTTAGGGGAGATGGGAAGGGAAGGAAAAGATAAGGGAAAGGGGAAGAAAAAGGATGAGGATTGGGAAGGGAAGGATGGGAAGGGAAGAAAAAGGATGAGGATTGGGGGTGGTGGGGGTTGGGGAAGGTTAAGGGAGAGAGGGATGGGGAGAAAGGGATGGTGGTTGGGTTAGGGATGGGAAGGGGCAGAAAAGGACAGAAAAAGGGAAATGATTGGGATTGGGAAAGGGAGGAGAAGGAGAGAAAGACAGGGGAAGGAAGGAAGGGAGGAGCAGAAAAGGGGAGAGGGGAGAAGGAAGAGATGGGAAGGAAGAAGAATAAAAAGAGGGATGGGAAGGTAAGACAAAGGGAAGAGAAGGGGAGAATCTTATGAGCTGGTTGCTCGAGGATACATGCTCTTTGCTTTTAACTTATGTATCATAACATTTTCTCTTAAAAGATGTATTTATCTTTACGTTAAGTTTTATCTTTTTCTTTAGTTTACACATCTCCAACCTTAAATAAATCTACAAGAAAAATACAGGAAAAATGACGAAGATTAAAAACCCAAAGAAAATAAACTAACCACAAACAAAAGCATAAACACAACAAACAAAACAAAAGAGACCCAACGCCCCACACTCCTTACACGTGGGCAGCGGCGGGCACGGCTCGGCGGCACAGGGCGCTTCCTCCAGGGTGCAGGCAGTGCCACCGGGGCATGTCACTCCTCGGCAGGGATCGCGGCACTCACACACGGGGCATCCTTCCTCGTCCAACTCGAACTCGTAAGGACACAGCATCCTACACTGGTATCCTGAGCAGGGCCTGGGGGCTGAAGAAGGCGAAGGAGGAGGCAGATTAGGCAAGGTGTTAAGACCAGATAACTGTTATGTTAATTGTTAGTTATTAATGTTGTTGTTGCGTTGTTGTAGTCTTGTTGTTTGTTGTTATTAAATGTTGTTGTTGTTGTCGTTGTTGGTAGTCTTGTTATCGCTGTTAGTGATGTCTTTTGTTATTGACATTTGTTATCATCAGAATCAAAATCAGAATCACTATTATTGTTATCATCGTTGTTGTAGTCGATATCTTTGATAGCAGTGATGGCATAAATATTATTGTTATCATCGTTGTTGTAGTCGTAATGATAATGATAACAATGATAATAATGGTAATGATATCAATAATGATAATATAGCATTAATAATGATAAAAATGCTACCAATACTATATGATGATGATAATAATAATAATAATAATAACAATAACAATAATAATAACACAACAACAATATAATAAATAATAATGTTAATAACAATAATAATAATAATAATAATAATAATAATAATATAATAATAATAATAATGATATACACCAAATACAATAACAACAAAAACAACAATAATAATAATAACAATAATAATAATTAATAATAACAAAACATAACAATAAATAACAAAAAAAACTAAAATAAAATAAAAAAAACAAAACGAAAACAATCATAGGATAATAACAGAAAAATATACTACTTTCAATACTATTACTATTATCAGCCTTTCGTATGCAAAGTGTGCAAATCCCAATGCAGTAGTTGGCATAATATCATGAGTCGTTTTATTGCCTCCGGTCGCAGAAAGTATAATAATAGTAAGAGAGGAGAGAGAGAGAATGGAGGGAGGGAGAGAACGGGGGAGAGAGCGGGGGAGAGGAGGAGGGAGAGAGGAGAGAGAGAGGGGAGAGAGACAGGAAAGAGGAGAAAGAGAGAGAGAAAAAAGGAGGAGGAGAAGAGGAGAGAAAGAGAGGAGAGAGAGAAAAAAGAGAGAGGAGAGAAAAAGAGAGAGGAGAAGAGAGAAAGAGAGAGAGAGAGGAGAAGAGAGAGAGAGAGAGAGAGAAGAGAGAGAGAGAGAGAGAGAGAGAGGAGAAGAGAGAGAGGATGAGAGAGAGAGAGAGAGAAGGGAGAGGAGAGAGAGAGAAAAGGAGAGAGAGAGAGAGAGAGAAGAGAGAGAGAGAGAGAGAGAGAGAGAGAGAGAGAGAGAGGAGAGAGAGAGAGAGAGAGAGAGAGAGAGAGAGAGAGAGAGAGAGAAAAGAAGAGAAAAGAGAGAGAGAGAGAGAAGAAAGAGAGGAGAGAGAGAGAAGAGAGAGAGAGAGAGAGAGAGAAGAGAGAGAGAGAGAGGAGAGAGAGAGGAGAAGAGAGAAGAGAGGAGAGGCAGGAGAGGGAGGGAGGGAGAGATAGAGAGAGAGAAAGAGAGAGAGAAGGAGAGGGGAAAAGAGAAAGATAGAGAATATACTGATAATCATTTACCCAATATCGTAAACAACAGCGTTTATTTAAGACAGTAAATCTACCGAGAATCTAATACCCTTTAAAACCCTTTCTCAAATAACTTACACACCAATATGTATAAAATCCCCCCCCCCCCAAAAAAAAAAAAAAAAAAAAAAAAAAAAAAAAAAAAAAAAAAAAAAAAAAAAATATATATATATATATATATATATATATATATATATATATATATATATATATATATATATATATATATATATATATATATATATTATATATTACAAAGGTCACAATACAACAGCAGCAACAATAACTAGAACAAATACAACAAAATCGCATGACACGGACGACGTAAATTTTCCTGACTGCCACCACTCTGTCACCCGTTGCCATTATCATCACATTTTCACTGTCATCATTTATGCTAATTCTTTCAAGCAAATTACCGCTTGTGTGTGTGTGTGTGTGTGTGTGGTGTGTGTGTGTGTGTGTGTGTGTGTGTGTGTGTGTGTGTGTGTGTGTGTGTGTGTGTGTGTGTGTGTGTTGTGAGTGTGTGTGTGTGTGTGTGTGTTTCTCTAACTTTCTTCCTATTTTCGGTTCTCTCTGTTCACCATTTCTCCTTTCGGTCGTTTTCTCTTTCTGCTTCTCGAACCTTCTCTTCTCCTTTTATTTCTTCCCCCTTCTCTCCTTTCGCCTTTTATTTTTCCCCCTTCATCATCGTCAATCCCTTCCTTCTCTCTTACCACATTCCCTCTGTCCCGTCCTTCCCTCTCCCTCCTCCCTCTCCTCTATCTTCCCTCCTTTTTCCCTCCTATCACCTCCCTCCCTCTGCTCCTTCTTCCCTCTTCCCCCTCCTCCCTTCCCTCCCTCTCCCTTCCTTCCTCCCTTTCTTCCCTCTCCCTCTTCCTCCCCTCCTCCTTCCCTCCTTCCCTTTCCCTCATCCTCTCCCTCTGCTTCCCTCTCTATCCTCCCCCTCCTCCCCCGCTCCCTCCCTCTCCCTCCTTCTTCCTCCTCCCTCCCTCCTCCCTCTCCCTCCCCCTCCTCCTCCCTCCTTTCTCCCTCCTCTCTTCTTCCCTCCCTCCCTCCCTTCCTCCCCCTCCTCCCTCCTTCCCTACCTCCCTCTCCTCTCCCTCCCTCCTCCCTCCCTCTCCCTCTTTCCCTCCCCTCAGAATTCCTCGAAAGGCCGTACAAATCACACACTGAATTTTAGATGAATTAAATTTTGCATTTGCGATGGGCAGAAAGGGGGGGGGGGGGGGGGGGGGGGAGAGGAGGAGGAAAAAGATAAAGGGCAAAGAGAATAAATGAGAGGGAGAAAAAGGGAGAGGGAAGAAATGAAGGGACGGATAAAAAGGGAGGGAGAAAAGGGAGAGGAAAAATGACGAGGATAACAGGAGGGAAGAAATGACGAGGATAAAAGCAGGATAAGGGGAGGGAGAAATGACGAGGATAAAAGGGAGGGAGAAAAGGGAGAGGAAATGACGAGGAGGGAGGGAGAAAAGGGAGAGAAGAAATGAGGATAAAAGGGAGGGAAGAAAGAGGAAAAGAATTTAGGAAGGTGAGTAAATAAGGAAGGGAAGATATAGAAGGAGAGTGAAGGAGAGATGAGGGGAAAAGAAAAAGAGGGAAAGTGAGGGGGGTGAGAAGAAGGGGTGGTGTGGTGGGGATGGGGAGGGACAGGGAGTGGGATGGAGATAGAACGATGTGGTGGTGATGGGGGAGAGGGTAAGGGGAGGGGGAAGAGGATGGGGAGGAAGGGGGAGAGGGAGAGGGAGAGAGGGAGAGGGGGAGGAGCGAGAGAGCGTGTCAAAAGCTTAAACTAAAGAGGATAAAGAGAGAGCGAAGGGGGAGGTGGTGGGGGGTGGGGACTAGGATGCAAGAAGATGGGGGGGAGAGGAGGAGGAGGAGGAGGGGTAAGGGGGATCTTTGCAAAGTGAAATAAGATTTAGTGTCAGAGAGTTTGCACTTGTTACATCCCCCCCCCAAATCAATCCCATGCCCCCCCCCCACCCCAGCCCCCCATCCTTCCTGACGAGGGATTACGTCTTTGTAGCGCATTCACAAGTTGTGTGTGGGAGGGGGAGGGGGGGAGGGAGGAGAGTTCCTGTACCCCCCCTCTCCTCCGCCTCCCTTCCACCCTCTACCCATCTCACCCTCCTCCTCCCCTCCTTCCTCCCATTCATCCTCCTCCTCCTCCTCCTCCTCCTCCCTCCCTCCCTGCCTCTCCCTCCCTCCTCTTCCTCTCCCCCTCCTCCTCCTCCCCCCTCCTTCCTCCCCTTCCTCTCCTCCTCCTCCCCCTTCACCCTCCCTTCCTCCCCCTCCCCCTTTGGGCAAAGTTGGCTGCCCGAGGAGCGAGGGATTTAAAGTTAGGCTCATAATGAAGTAGGAAATATTTTATTACATTATGCATAAAGTTCGCACGGGCCGTTGTACGTGCAGGTCCCGTTCGTGTATTTTACCAAACTTTTATTCCCTATCTTCCTTTCCTTCTCTTTTATTCCCTATCTTCCATTCCCTCTCTTTTATTCCCTATCTTCCATTCCCTCTCTTTTATTCCTATCTTCCATTCCCTTTTTATTCCTATCTTCCATTCCTTCTCTTTTATTCCCCCCTTTCTCTCTCTTTTTGTTCCATCTCTCTTTGATTCTCTCCCTTTTGTTCTCTCTCTCTCTCTTGTTCTCTCACTGATTTTTTTCTCCTCTCTCTGTTTTCTCTCTCTCACTGTTTTCTCTCTCTCACTGTCTCTCTCTCACTGTTTTCCTCTCTCTCTCTCCTCTCTCTCTCTCTCTCTCTCTCTCTCCTCTCTCGCTCTCTTCTCTCTCCTCTCCTCTCTTCGTCTCTCCTCTCTTCGATCTCTCTCTCTCTCTCTCTATCCCTCTTTTTTTTTTCGTCCGCTCCTTCTTTCTCCCTCTCCATCCTCTCATCCCTCTCTTATTCACTCAGGAAGAACAATAGAAGAGACACAAGATAATTTGCAAAAAGAAAAAAAAGGCAAAATTAGTGATGCGAGAGATACACTAAACTTCCAAGGCCGAAAGCAAGATTAGAATAATGATGAGGAAAAACTGAATAACGGATAAGGCCCAAAGGGAGAAGCAGAGAAGTAATGAAACAAACATTACGAAGACAACAACGACAAGAAAAAAAAAAGAATAAGAAATAAAGAAGAAAAAAAAAAAAGGCAAAAATTCAAAATAATCGCAGATTCGACACGGCGAGCGGGCGGCGAAAGTCTACGGACCTACAACCCACATTTAAATTACTCTCCCCCCCCTGCCCCACTCCACTCCACGCCCCCCCCCCCCGCGCCCCGCCTCTTGACCTTTTCAAGTCTCTCGCGGCGGTGGAGGAACTAAGTACATAAGTGAGTTTGTGAGCAGAGAGAGAGTACCTATGGGGGGGGGGGGGGTGAGGGTGAGGGAGGGGAAACACGAGGAGAAAAATATATAGAGTAAGTAAAAAAAAAAAAAAAAAAAAAAAAAAAAAAAAAAAAAAAAACATAGAAAAACATGAAGAACAAAGGAGGAGGAGGTAGAAGAGAGGGAGGGAGG